ATGATTCTTTCCAAGTGAAGATTTTTTTAATTGTAATATTTTGTAAAACTTTTCAAGAGTCAAGAATCTTTATTTGTCACATCCATAGTTATACGAGTACAACATGCAGTGAAATGTATCCTGACATGCTCCTTGGCTGTGCAGAAAGAGAGAGAACATTATGTACATTAAGTGAATATATACAGGAGGACATTATGTGCAGCAAGTAAGTGAATTATGTACATTAAATGCATGAAATAAAATAGACAATGTGGAAATTTTAAATTGAGAATCTGAAAAAATAGTCCATGATGGCCAGATTGGACCGTTTTGTGGGGAAGATCTGTTTCCCCCCTTATCATATGTTTCAGTACATGGGTAAAGATGATTTGATTAGATATTAAAAAACGAAAGAAAGAGCAGCTGTAGTACTCGGTGTCGGTGTGCACTTTGCGGTTGAAGGGTGCAGGGTTTTCCCACATGACCGTGAACGCAGCGTCAGATGATGAGAGTGGGTCATCAGCTGCAGTCAGTCAGGTGTGGTCGGCGGGGAGACGGTCCGACCGTCGGAGCGGCGAGCCAACGGAATCAACGGGCACAAGTCAGAGTGTAGCACCGGTCTGTGAGCATGACCCACCGGCCAAGCACCGCACCATGACCACAGTAAGTTCGTTTTTTAAATAAACGGCGGGGGGTTGAAAGTTTCTCCGAGCGCTGAAGTTTCCCGACGTCTTGGCAGGCCAGCGTCGGGCCCGGACACCGTCACTCCAGGCTGGATGAACAAATCTGGAAGTTTAAACGTTTTCTTGCTAGTCTGCAGCGGTACACCCAGTACCAAATACACATTTAGCCTTTTAACGAGCGGTCATTGCTTTCTTCTTTATTTACACCCGTTGAATTAACGTTAATATTTATTTATTCACCAGTTTTGTCCCGTTTGTGCCTTAACAGGTCGGCGGTTTGGCCGTTAAAACCATCGAGCTCTGAACAAAACTACAGTTTAACGTCAGCACTGTGTTATTTTATTTGTGCCGTATTGAAGCCCGTCCCTGATTCATTTTTACAATGTTTACACAAGTGACTCTAAGTCTTGGATTGGCATAGTTTGATTTCATTTAACGAAAAATGAATATATTTCGCGTGGAGTC